CCCTAACCCTCCGGGTACCTACTATATAGGGCCCTAGGGGCTCTAGTACCCTATATAGTAGGTACCTGGGGGGTTAGGGCCAATTACCATCTGTTGTAGCCGACGTACCCAAAACATGCATTTACTATTACGGACCATAAGGGCTTTTTAGGGTTTAGGGTTTAGGTCTGAAACCCTCAACCCTAAGCTTTGTTACTTGTAGAAACCGTACAGCCCTAAGCCCTGAAACTAAACCTACCGCAAAAGCTAGACGGGAAGCCCGATCCCCTTTCCTCAGCCCGGACAGGCAGCTTGATTAACTAGACTAGGCTAGGCATTTTTTTTAGAGTTGACCGTCCTTGCACAAGAGGTGTTAGGTTTCCCGGGCACGCCGTCCTCGTGAACAGGAGCTGATGATGGCATTGTAGCTGATGACGTTGGGAGTGAGGTCGGACACTGGCATGGCATCCAGCAAATGCAGGGCCATCGGCCACTGCTCCTTGGGCGTTTTTGGTTTAGACGGGTATCTGCGAGCAGAAATAGCATTCTCATCCCAAATCCCTGCAAAATCCCCGATACAAGGGATTCAAACACATGCAAAACAACACAGACTCGAAGGTGCGACAAAACCCATCCCAAATGCATCAGGGAGGTAGCGGCTGCGTTTGCTTGGACGTGTGTTGGCCAACTGACTTGGATTTCCGGTGCATTTCCGGTGCATAATACTTCGCATCAAACATGCAAAACAATAGCAAACACGTGTGTTGCATGGTTCGCCTCGTTTTGCGCTTTCGCAGTTTCCTGGTGGACCACCTGTCCCGAAAATGCAACTATCCTGTTGCCAACCGCATTTGATTTTCATATGAGTAGTTCTCTAAATTAGGGTCCCTTTTGGGGTCCCTTTTATAAGGGTGCCGTACAACATAATGGGGACCTAAAAAGGGACCCTAATTTAGAGAACTACCCATCTATCCGCATTCTGCCAGCTGAGATGGGTCCAACGACTTTTAAAGTGCTCATAAAAGTGGCTGCAGGCAGAACTCTTGGGCATGATCATCGCCGGAACTCAAACCCTTAACACAACTGTAGCCATCCGTTGAGGATGATAGCACATTAGAGTATATCAGGGTATACTGTCGCATGTTGGAGTAGATTAGAGTATATCATAGTATAGGGTAGTATAATGCAATATGGCATGTTAGAACACGTACCCAAGGCAAACTACGAACTTTACGAATACCTCGAAACGCATCCATCGGGGCCATCTCACTTCCAAGCTGAGTTTCCCCCTTGGCGCAGGTGCTGATGGCGGTGCCGAAACCTTGTATATGCATCAGCAAAAACTCGTTTATAAGGTTCCCCAAGAGAGGATATCATAAATGCCCTTTTGGGGTTTAGGGTAGGGGGCACAACTAAACATTTATCAAAACAGATCAAGTAGAGCTTCTTCTTATCCTTCAAGGAATTACACGCTGCAGGGCATTGGGCTCTCCGGAAGGGACAATTTCTGTGGCAAACTGTCTGCAGCGTAGGGTTTAGGGTTTAGCGTATACGGTTTAGGATTTAGGGTGCCAGTTCTAGCTGTAGCGCAAAATAGGACGAACGTGCATAACCAAATTCAGCCATACTGAAGACTGCGACACATAATTGAGTCACATAAAGACTCTGTGCATGAACATGGATAGTTGTCGAAAGTATGCTCCCTTTTGGGGTACCCTAAATAATAGGTGCCGTATTATAATAACGACCCAAAAAGGGACCATAATTTTGACAACTACCCACATGTCTGGACCAGCAAAGCTTCCAAAGAGGGCAGAACCGAAGCTCTAAGCTCAATTAACCCTGAACACTAAAGCCTATACCTTAAGAACCCAAAACCTACTTTTTTGTAGGGCCCCTATAAATCCCATATTAGGGTTTATAATAAGAACCTACAAGAAAGGGGGTTTTGGGTTCTTAAGCTAGTCCTATAAACCCTAGACACTGAACCCTAACCCCAAACCCTTAATAAAAACATGCACTCCTCCCATGCTTACCAGGTCTGATGCCTGGCGGGGTGAGGATTAGGGTTTAGGGATTAGGATCTAGGGCCTATAGGGTTTGGGATTTTGAGATGAGTGATTAAGGATTTAGGCTTAAGGACTAAGGTTTAGGGCTTGGGATTTAAGGCTTAGGGTTCAGGACTCAGGGATTAGGGATGAATGTGGTTTTAGGGATTCGGGCTTGGGTGACCCTGAGGATGCCCTAAACCCTAAACCCTAAACCCTAAACCCCAAACCCCAAACCCCAAACCCTAAACCATAAACCCTAAACCCTAAACCCAAGCCCCTAAAACTGTGGGTCTTGGGCCAAGAGGCTGAGGATGTTTGGGGTCACCGTCCACGCCGGCATGGAGCCGAAGAGTTGCAAGGCCTTGTGGGGAGCAACCCCTAAACCCCTAAACCCCTAAACCTCCAAACCCCAAACCCCTGAACCCTAAACCCTAAACCCCTAAACCCCTAAACGAAGAGAAAGAAAGAAAGAGCTATTGCAAGGACCTAAAATAATTAGAATAGGGCTTTGGGGGATCATTCTACTATATTTATATTGAGGAACCCCAGTAGTAGTATAGGTAATTCTCTAAGCCCTTACATCAGAGAGAGAGAGAGAGAGACCCAGAGACTCCAATACCCCTTCATGAAGGAATATACCTTAAATCATATTAGGGATCCTACTATAATTTAAGGTATATTCCTTAATTAAGGGGTATTGGAGTCTCTGGGGAGCGAGAGAGAGCGCTCAGACCCTTGAGGTGCAGAGTTTACGGCGGTTTCGGAGAGTCTGGGGGTCTGATGTGGAGTCTAAAAACATCCGAGGAGTGAGTCTCAGTTTAGGGTTTAGGGCTTAGGGCTTAGGGTTTAGGGTTTAGGCTTTAGGGTTTAGGGTGTGAGTATCAAGGCGTAAAACATGTTGTTGTAGGCCTCTTAATAATCAGTAAGACATACTATTGTAAGCCTCAATAATCAGTAAATCATCTTATCGTAGGCCTCTTAACAATCATTAAAGCAGGGCTTTGTGGTATCCTATAGAAAAGCTTACGTGTAGGGCCTACCGGGGACTGCACGGTGTTATTACTTTGGTTTAGGGTTTAGGGTTTAGGGTTTAGGGTTTAGGGTTTAGGGTTTAGGGTTTAGGGCAGACTCTTATGGCACCCGGATGTCGACTCACCCCTCAGGCTCTGGGTCGGGCCTCTTGCCGACATTCCCTAACCCCCCAGATACCTACCATGCAGGGCACTAGAGCCCCTACGGCGCTACAGTAGTGTAGGGGCCTAAATAATTACCAGTAGTCTCTTATAATGATAGTATCATGGGCCCCCAAAAACCTGTTCTAATCATTAAGGCCTTTATATTATTCCTTTTCAAGGCGAGAAGCCAGCTGCCATTGCTCGCCCTTCTCCTTCGAGGGAAAGCAGCTGGGGCAGGGTTTAAGGTTTTAGGGTTTCGGGTTTAGGGGTTCAGGGCCTGTAGGGTTTAGGATCTTAATGTTGAGGGTTTAGGATCTTTAGGTTGAGGGTTTAGGATCTTTAGGATGGGAGTTTAGGGTTTAGAGTTTAGGGTACTTGGGCTGAGGGTTGATGGCGTTGCCTAGACCTTCAAGTGTAGAATCTTGTGTCTTGGATAGGCAATCTTCTGTTCATAGCCGCCGAAATCAAAGGGTACTGACAGCAAATTAAAGGGCGACACTTGGTCTAGGTCAGGCATGGACGGTTTAACGCCCAGGCCTCTCTCTGTGGAATGTCAAGGGATTGTGGGCGATAATTTGGCCCAAAATCTTAAACCCTAAACGCCGAACCCTAAAAACCCGAACACTAAACCTCTAACCCCTAAATCCTATAAATCCACGACCTAAATTACGTTGCAGCTTCTATGGGGCACTCGTTCATAAGCGGATCTGAAACGCCAACGAACTTGTCTTGGACCTTCCGCACATCCAACAACTCAAGGCGGACGCTCCAATGCTGTAATATCAATAAGACCCTGGAGAACACGTCTCAAGCCATTACAAGTTCAAAACACCGCAGACACACTTACAAAGCTATACTAAAACACCCCGCAGCAAAATACACAGAAATTGAAGACCTCATCTGAGCCCCTAGATTGGGCTCAAGAGTCCAGGGAGACTAAGGTGGCACCGAAGCTGATGACGTCCGGCTTGAGCCTTAGCTGCTGAAAAGTCGGTGGCTCGAGAACACAATGCTTGTTTGTGTTTGAGGAAGGACTGCGCAGCCCCGAGCAAGGGAAAACCGTATACCCTACAGCCCTACAGCCTAAACCTAAACTCCAAGGCCTAAGCCTAAACCCTTTAGAGAAGGGCAAATTAAAGCAGGTTAAAAGGCTACCTACCCTAAACCCTAAACCCTAAATCCTAAACCCTGAACCCTCGAAATCCTAAACCTACTCAGCTACAAAGGAGCTGAAGATCTGGAATGGCATGGAAGAGGTTCAAGGCCAGCTCCCATTGGCCACCTTTCTCCTGGGATGAGGGTTTAGAGTTGAGGAGGGGTTTAGGGATGAGAGGGTTTAGGGGTTTAGGGTTGAGGGGTTGAGGGGTTTTGGG